AAAAAAAAAAAAAAAAAAAAAAAAAAAAAAAAAAGAAATGGTGTGGATTATCAAATTAACCAAAACATTTCCTGTTTAAATAAAACTGCTTTGTTAAGTGTTTTGTTTTAAACCCACTGAAGTTTCTTGCCCGGCCTGGGATGGGCTCTGTATGAAGTATAAAAAGATGTGAAGTGAAAACGTCTTGGTTTGCAAGTGAAGATGTAAAGCCTGAAACCTTGCTTAAAGAGCTACAGAGGTCATGAATGATACGGTGATTTGGAATGTCTTGCTCACCTTTGGAGAAGATGAGGTTCAAGAATGTGTTGAATCCCATGATAGCCATGACGTCGTCCATACTGCTGGCTGCGATCAGCAGCGTGGGGATGCCCTTCTCTATGCCATACCCTGCCTCCTGCAAGCACAGCATGGATGGGACCACGACCGCAGGAGACACGGCACCTAGCACAAAACTGAAGAAAGACACCTTTGTCACCAGTGCCACACTGCACACTACCAGTGTTCTTACTGTTCTAACAATTCCACAGGCACAAGTTCTGCTTTTGACTAAAAGCAATTAGTAGTGATATAGCTTTCCAAACATCCTTTTTTTTGGGTACTGGGGATCGAATTCAGGCCCTTGTGCTTGTGAGGCAGACGGCAGAATCACTGAGCTAAATCCCCGGCCCGTTCCATGCATTCTTTAGCACTGCTACAATTTACAGACTTGTAGGTCAACATACAGGACTGAGCACACATTTGTGCCTCTCCCTTTTCCCCTAAATCCTTTGAAATAAAGACAAAAAAATAATAGGAAATTCTACAATTTGACTAGAAAATAAGAGGAAAATCCAGGCTGGGGATTTAGCTCAGTGGCACAGCACCTGCCTTGCAAACACAAGGTCTTGTGTTCGATCCCTGGTACCACCCCCCGCAAAAAAAGATTAAAAAATAAAAGGAAAATCCTAGACAAAAATTGAAGCGTGTTCTTGAAGATGAAATCTAGGCATTTTAGAATTTTTTTTAAAGGGAACTACAGGGGCCGGGGATTTAGCTCAGTGGTTCCACCGCTTGTTTCACAAGTGCAACATCCTGAGTTTGATCCCCCAGTGCCAATAAAATAAAATAAAGGAAACCACGAACTAAAAGAAAGATTGCCACAAAAACTATGGCAGGTAGTTAGGGATTTAGCTCAGTGGTGCTGCGCCTGCCTTGCAAGTGCAAGGTCCTGAGTTCAATTCCCAATACAAAAAAAAGATATAGCAGTGCTCCATGCCCAGAAAGGGCAGGTGATGGAGGAAGGAAGATCTCCCAGGAAACCGAGGGGGTGGTCACCCCCAGTACCACTGTTAGGATGGCCCCTTCCATAGCATTCCTACCTCTTGAGAAACTCACCAAGGAACGCACATAAGACCCTTCCTAGCTATGCTCATATGGGGAAGGTTCACTGGCTCCCCCACTCCCATTAGGTTGAGACATCTGCCAAAGTTAAGAGTGGAACTCAAGCATGTCTGGCACTCAGGGCGCTTCCTTTAGCTGGGCTTGGAGTGTTGTTTAGCGGCAGAACACCCACCTAACATGTACAAAGTCCCAGGCCTAATCCCCACACCACAAAACAACAAATAAGTAAAGATAAAATACAAACAAAAAATCCTTCTGACTTAGCTCTCCAGACAGCTGGGACAACTGGCCACACCACTGAGCCTGGCCCTTATACACTATTTTTCAACCTAAAAGATATTTTAAAGCTTCAATAATACAGAAGACTGAATTTTAAACACTGCAAATAATTAAAGCATTAGTAAATGTGGAACTGCCTACTTTCATAACATCTTTCTAAAAACAACATAGAATGAAATAAAAGGATAAAAATATAAGAAAGCAGGAGAAATGTAAAAGGGGAAAGAAACAATTTTCATAATGTGAAAATAAAAAATATTGAGGAAAATATTAAAACGTTCTGCCTCACTGCTGAGGTGCTTGAATGAGGGGCACAAGCAGATCAGCACAACCCACGCTGGTGTGCGTCTGAGTCCTTCTAGACTGTGTGTCCTGTGGACAGAGCCAAAGCAAAAGGTCACTCATGCTCAGTTGCTTCTGCTATATTGGTTGCCAGGGGCCTGGCAGGAGCTATGATGGCCGAAGGCTGCAGGGCTTCTCAGCAGCTCTGCATGTTGATGTGAGCCTCTGTGGGATGTGGTGCTCAGTGGATTCCCTCTGCAACTTTCCCAGCGGAATGCTCCACGAGCAGGGCAAAAGCTGGCATCACGGTGTGTCGCCGAACACCAGTGCAGGCAGGGAGAGGCCAGGGCCTCACAGAGACCTGTGCTGGAGCAGGGCTGGTGGGATGTGGGGCCTGCCAGATCCTTGGCAGCTGTGTTTCGAAGGTGCAGCACACAGCACCAGGGTGATGTCGAGGGCTTCTGACCCCTGAAGCTGAAGCTCAGATACAAGATGCCTCTCGGATGGCTGTTACCACCCAGCACACACAGGAATTTTTTCTCCAGGACTGGCTGTCTGTGCAGGCCCAGGGCTTTCCTGTTTCATGGCTGTGTTTCCAAGTGGGGCTCTCTGGGCCACTCGCACCTATATCCCTGCTGATGGGGTGTTCCCGCCCACACTGTACCTCCGGGCCCCCATGTGTCAGGTCTGACAGTCTGTCCCTCTTCCTGTTCTAGTGTCCTGACTCTGTGGGCCCCACCTGCTGTCTCCTGCTGCTGAGCTCTGTGCTCTCTCATGCCCACCTCAGCACGCAAGTGTGCACAGAGCGGGAGAATGCCGGGAGCCTCTGTCTACCATCTCGAATCTGCTCCACATGCCCTCAATGTGCCCTGGGTGGAGAAGGCCCTTCTGCCCTGCCAGGCCAGCACATGTCTGCTGGAGCCAGTGCTTGCTGGCTACTACAAGGATGTGCAGGTCCATGAGAGCTGATGAGACAACCTGGGGGTGCTAAGAGGTTTTGCCCCTATCTTACCTACCACGAGAGCTCCTGCCACTGTGAGGATCTACTGGTATAGTCCTCTTGCCGCTCTGATGCAGTTTATGCTCCAGGCTTCCCTGTGGTCTCAGGAAAAGACTTCTCAGAAACCATGGATTTGTCAAGTTCAATGTGCTTTGCTGCTACACATTGGAATCACCTATTATATCATCAAATATTATGTCACTTTTTCTCTTGGCCAGGAATCTAGGTACAGCTTAGCTATATACCTCGGACTCAAGATCTCTTATGAAGGTCAGCTTCTAAGTTTACTCATGGTCTCTTCTTCAAAAAGCTACCTCAGGACAGGGAAGCTGGCATCCCCTGGGACCAACAACCAAAGAGAATGCAAGACAGGAACCACAGTTGTCTTCTAACCTAATTTTGGAAGTAACATTCCATGACTTCTGTATTCTCTTCATTAGAAGCAAGTCAGCAAGTCCATTCCACACTTGAGAACAGATCTTGCAGCAAGGCGTAAATACAGGAAAGCAGGGAGCACAGGACATGATCATATAGGCAGAGAACCAGGTACTAAGGAAGCACGGAAGAATGAGGGTGCCTGGCTCCCATTCCAAGACACTCTGATCTTATTACTACAAAGTGTGATCTGATGGCTATGATATTTTTAAAACTTATGGTAGAAAATATATTTATCCTTTTAACAATTTTTAGGCACACAAGTCAGTTGGGTTAACTGTATTCTCACTGTTATATAAAAGATATCTAAATAATTATTGCGTAAAACTGAAACTATATCCATCAAACAACCTTTTTCCTTCTTTCTACTCCCTGGAAGCTACCACTCTGTTTCTGTGCTCCTGACTATTCTTGTTAGCTTAGTAAGTAATATCATATAGTATTTGGCATTTCGTGACTGGTAACTGGCTTACTTCAATTGGCATAAGGTCCTAAGGTCCATCCACATTGTAGTACCTGACAGGATTTCTTATGGCTGAGTGACAGTCCACTGTATGTGTACATCCCACTTGGGCTGTTCCACCCCTGGCTCTGCAATGAACACAAAGATCTCTTCAAGATGTTTATCTCAATTGTTTTGAGTGCCTATCCAGAAGTAGGATTGCTGGATCATATGTTAATTCTGCTTTTGTTATGGAGGAACCTCCAGACTGTTTAACATAGTGGTCTGGCATATTTATGTCCCACCAGCAATGACAAGGCTCCGATTTCTCCACATTATTGACCACACTTGTTAGGTTGTATGTATTGTTTGTGGTCATATTTTATTTTTGATTTGAATTTTATATTTTTCATAGACTCACTGGCTATTTGCATATTTTCTTTGCAGAAACGTCTATTCAAGTTACTTGTCCGGTTTTACTTGAGGAAGGTTTGGATGTTACTGAGTTGTGGGAATTCTTCATATATTACAGTTACTAATCCTGAGTTTATATTTTTCCCATTACAAGACTGCCTTTTTGTTTCCTTTGCTGTGTGAAAGTGGTAAAGTTTGATGTAGTCTTAGTTGTCTGTATCTGCTTTTGTTGCCTGTGATTTTGTTGTCATATCCAAGATATCATTACCAAATTCAATCCACAAAGCTTTTTCCCTGACTTCATTCTTTTGCACGTGGATATCCAATGTGACCTCCAGTGCTTGCTGAAGAAATGTCCTCCTTCAACTGTGTGATACTGGCCCTTGTCAAAGATCAGCTGACCATATGATGAGGGTTTATTTCTGGCTCTGAATTTTGTTCCATTGATCCCAGTGTCTGTCTTTATGCTATTACCACACGGTTTTTATTATTGTCACTTTCTAATACTTTATGGCACTGTATAAATCTTTGAGGAACTCTTCATTTTGCTTCATTTTTCTTTTTGTTCCTCTGACTTAGTTATTTCAAATGATCTGTGTTCAAGTTCACTGATTCAGTCTGCTGTGGATTCCCTGTAGTGAATTTTTCAATTCAGTTTTTGTTTCTTCAGCTCCAAAGTTTCTGCACATATACATAATAAAAAATAGGACAGGGCAGTTGAAAATGTAAATGATCACTAACTTTAGTTTATTTCATGAATGAAAATTCAGTTTGCATTGGAAAAATCAATCAATACTACTCACTGTAGTAAAACAAAGCAGAACATTTGTATCATAATAGAAGCAAAAACTGATGAAATTCTACACTCATTCATAAGATAAAATAAAATTTTAGAAGACTTAGGGAACTTCCTTAGTCTAATAAAAGGCCGCTACAAAAATCTTATGCAAAATATAATATCAAGCCAATCACCAAAGACTGTTACCTCCAGGACTGCCATCAAAGATGCCTGCTTTCAAAATAAAAAGGGCTGAGGATACAGCTCAGTGGTAGAGGACTTGCCTAGCACATGTGAGGCCCTAGGTTCAATCTCTAGGACTGCAATAAAAAAGGAACCAATTAAAAAAATCAGGTCATAAGAGTGGGGCCCTAATGGAAAAGGATGACTCCCTAAGAGGACAGAAAGAGACACCCAGAATGCCTATGAGAGAACAGGCCACAGAGGACACAGCAACAAGGTGACCATGTGCAGGCCAAGCAGAAACCCTTAGGAGAAACCAAAGCTGCCAATGTCTTGATCTTGGCCCTTCAGCCTCAAGACCTGTGAGAAATAAATGTCAGCTGGTTTAGTCACAAAGTAAATGAATGCATATGTAACTAAACAAGGGAATAAATAAGCCAAGTGACACACTTGAAGAAAAATATCATGGTACATATTGGATAAAAGCCTTGGGTCTAGAATAAACATAATTTAAAACTCAATAAGAACTCAATTTTAAAAACTGGTAGAAGATTTGAAGTGGTACTTCACCAAGGAAGATCTACAGATAGTTCTAGCACACGAAAAAGCACTCAATGTCTGTGGTTGTCAGGGAAATGTAAATCAAATCCATGACAGGATACCATTCTACATTCTCTAAAAGTGCCACACTGAAATCTATTCCCATGTTGAAGAGGCTGTGGATGCTCTAGAGTTCCATCCACTGGAGGTGTGATAAAGGGAATGTCACCTGTATTTGTAAAGTTCTGATATTTCACAAGGTGAACACAGGGCTGAAGGTGCTGTGGTGCAGCTCTGGGTTTTAAATCCCAAAAGTGAAAAACAAAATAGTGATAACACATTTACAACAAAAGTTAATTTAAAATCCATTGACCATGGCAATACATATGCAATGGGTGCATTTGCTACAAACTTCATGGGCGTGGACAAGTGGAGGCAAACATCAGCTGAAAATGAAAAGGACTTCATGTTTAGAGATAATGACTGCAGACTTATGTTGAAGAACTTGGACATAAGGGAAATGATGGTGGGAAAGAGTTGGGGCTTTGAATATAGGGAAAAAAATTTTTCTTTGTTTGTTTTTTAAAAATGGGAGAGTTTTTATTTATATATTACTATATTAAAATTTTCTTCTATATCTTCATACACACATACAGTGACCAAAGAAGGGACCATCTGACAGGATAAAATGTGCACATACATTACAACACAGTAGAGAAGGGATAAACTGAGCAGGCACACTGTCTTGGCACTGCACACTTAGGAACTATGAATGCTTGTCAAAGGTATGGTAGTTCTGGGAGATGGCTCTGCTTTTGATCAACTGATTTCCAAGGTTTTCCACCACTGTGAAGAGAACGTCCACGAAAAGCTATTTCTTCATTAACTGTATATTTTTCTAGTGAAAAAAAAAAGCAAAAACAATTACCCTAATAGAAACCCCCACTGCCAAGGGAAATCCATGACGAAGTGGGAAACCACAGCAGCGGTGCACGCCTCCATGATGCATGGACCAAAGGACAGCCGGAAGCAGATGCCCTTCATCTGCCGCAGAGCCTGAGGACAAAGATCACACACACAGAAACTTACAGAAGTCAGCAGGAAAACCACATACTGAAATATAGTGTCTCTTGTGTAATCACCTTTTGCTGAATATATTCAATAATAGAATAATAGCTTTTAGAACAGCTTTTAGAATTAGTTTTGCTTACAGATTCCATTTGGAATGGCTAGAACAAAAATTTTGCCATTTTTCATTCCCACCAGCCTCTGCTATTTTAAAGAACTCAAGATATAAGTGGCAGTTTACTTCTGGATCGAGTCCAAGCCCTGCTCGTATTAGGATGATGGTAAGGGCAGTGCTTCTTAGAGTTGAGGACCACTTTCTAGGGACTCTGACATGTTTACTGATGGATGGAATATTCCTGATGATAAAACCAGCCAGTAACATTCCTTAAAAAGATAAAAACACACAAAATAAAGCATGTTTGATTTAGTTCATTTTTCTGAGAAAGAAGGGCAGCTTATATAGGAGTATAGAGCAGAGGAAGCAGCATGAATGAAGGATGAAACGAACAAACAACATATACAAATACAGTGTAGTATGCAACTCAGTTGTTACTTAAAAGACAGGAGACACCCCAGATAGAAATTTCTCCATCCATTTTCCTCTGTGCAGCTGGTGAGTTATAAAATAATGGTGATAAGGAACAGCATGTCTTGCAGGTATGCCAGTACACAGTGAGTGCACACAATGAAGATGCACAAATGGCTGATGTGACAATCACAGCACTGTTGGGTGCACTAATCACTGTAACATATGAATCTTGTAACTATTCAGTTACGTGGTCTACACAAAGTGCAGTCTTTACTAAATTTTCTTTTTTGCAATAAATTTAAAATTAAGTAAAAATGTCTTATTCATTGATAAAGCAACAGGAATCACGTATTGTGTATATTCAAATTATTTTAAAAATAGGTTTAAAAAATCTATATAAAGAATAAGTACATCTACAAAACAGCTACAAATACAAGCACATGCAGTAGTGCATATTCAAAGAAACTACACAGATGATATTGAATTGAAATATTTAATTATATCTATTCCAACTAGTAAATGTTCAAAATATACACACAGTCAACAACAAAGAAAAGAGAGTTTATTCCATACTTACCGAGAAGAGGTGGAAGTGGGGGCACTGCAGGTATTCTAATGAGTTCCAAAAGTGTCCCTCCAAGACAGGCACTATAAAAAATAATTACTAGTCCAAATAAATTTCCACCAGGGAGAACTTCAGGGCCTGAGAGTAGCCAGAGTAGGCACCAAGTCATAAAGTATATAACTCCTGAAATATAATAAAATACATCTACATATCCACATAGACACATGTATACCATCAAAAGATGAATTTTATTTTATTTAGTAGACCAATAGCCAGACCTATATATCATTATACGAAGTATAGGCTAATATTGTTAACTAATATGGTTGGAGAGAAACTTGCTCATGATGTATTCTAATCTTTCATTTTATATGACAAGTTTTAAACAAACTACTTTTTTCTTCAGTATCAGCAATTGAATCCAGGGCCTCATGTATACTAGGCAAGCAGTCTTATCAGTGAGCTATATTCCAGGGCCTTTGACAATTTATATATGAAATAAGCTCATCTAATTTATATTTGGAGCTCAAATTTACAAAATTTACATGAGTCGGGAATACCCAATATCCTAAACCTATCTACAAAGTATCCTCTTATGGAACAATTCACATGGCACTTAGTTGATACTAATTTAAAACATCTCAAAGTTCAAATACTTCCCTCAAATACAAATTCTATTGTTTTAAAAATTCATCAACATATATGCTAATTGGTTTCATTTATACTACTAATTTATCTTAGTTCATTGAAAAAAAGTTTTGTGTTATCTGTTTCTGTTTTGGGAGATTCTTTTTGGTTTACTTGTATGCTGAGTAACTAGTTTGAGGCTAATGATATACAGTATAATTAACTATTGTTGTTCTCATTACCTGATTATGAAATTTTGTTTTATTGCTTCATAAAATTAAAAACAAAATCTCAATGGACACTCTCAATTTGAGACTGCATAAAGTCTCAAGCCCCACTGAATGTGAACTTAAAATAACAAGTAATACCTCATGAGCCAAAGTTCATAGATATAACAAAGAAGGGGATTAAGTGGGTTTAAATAAAAATCTTTAACTAGTGCTACTTCCAATCCCAAAAATTAAACATAAAATTCACAGAAAAGATTATAAATATATTAAGCAATATTTTGGCTTTGGTTTTGAAAGATTCAAGGAAATATTTTCTTTACCTAATTATTGCTTATAACAAAGCTAATAATCCAGAGTATATAGATTAGGCGGTAGCTTTGTTGCCATATTTTTTTTATTCACCACATATATTTTCTCCATTTACATTTCTGTTTCACATACCACTTGTCATAATATTATTGACTATTCCTTGTGGAGGACAAGAAAAACATCTCTTTTTCCTCTGTGGTATTGTTTCCTCTGTGTACAGGACTGTTTCCTTAGTTCCTTTACGTGCACCATAGACCTGAAATAAAACAATGAAGTCTTGCACTTTTATAAATGTAGTATGCTACCACATCTTGTCAACACGGGGAATACACACAGGTATTTGGGGTGTCATGGCTGTGTATTTTACAAGGCATTCTAATGTAGACTTTAAAACATTTGAATCCCCACAGTTTTCATTTAACATTTATGTATATTGAATAAGTGAACCTATAATGTGGTTATAATAATTAAACTGTTTTATCTTCTGTCTACCTCAATTTGCTCACTAAAACTCTTCTGAAATGAAAAGTACAACTAAATTGGGCTGGGCATGGTGGCACATGCCTGTAATTCCAGCACTTGGGAGGCAGAGGTAGGAGGATTGCTGTGAGTTCGAGACCAACCTGGGCTATATAGTGAGTTCTAGGTCAGTCTCAACTACATAGTGAGATCCTGTCTCAAAAAACAAAACAAGTACAACTAAATTGGGAATTAAGTGAAATATAACTTTATAGTTTTTGGACTCATGATAAATTATGTAACTGCATGATAAATGAGAAAAGTATAGGTCAAGTCTCTAGAAATTCAAGCAGGCTTCCAGTAGTATTTATAGATAATATATTTAAATCGCCTAAGTGTATACTTTAATCTTCCAATGCTTTAAATGGAACTCTAACAATGAAACTGCGGATTTAGAAAAGAAATCTTTGGTTTGTGATAATACTGAGAAGCTTCTCCCAATATAAAAAGCAGAAACATAAACAATTACAACAACAATGACAATAGGCCCCAAATTCTGTTCATGCTGGAGTAGAGATCTCCAAGTCTGCTATGTGGTTGCTACGATGGGGGATGCACACACACACACACACACACACACACACACACACACACCAATGAGTGGAGTGGATTGCTAATATTTTGAGAATAGTAGAAAAGAGAACTGGAAATGTAACAAAGGCTGGAGTGATTGACAGATTGAGGAAAGGGATGGTTAGCATTAATGATGGCAGAGTCAAAGGCATTACAACACTTGATGTTAAAAAAAGAATTACATGGCTCTTTAAGACCAAAGTTCTCAAACCTGATGATTAGTTTGTTTGACTTTTGGCATAAAGGCACTTTCTACCACTGTAGGGAGGAGCTAGAAACATAATGGTGAATTTTTATTAGGGCTATGGTAAATCAGAATAATATTCTATTATTTTAAGGTTTATAATTTAAGAATTTAAAAAAATGGACACAGACTGTGAAGAATTCTTCTCAGATAAGGTAATAAGAAGCAAAGGTGAGTATTTAAAATAATTGCAAAGACTCACCTTTCGTTCTTTTAAATTACTGAATTTCCCTGAATATGATAAGCAACAACAAGCCATGTTTTTCTTATTCCTAAAATCTATCCTATTTATTTCCAAAATACTTTATAGTAGTCCATCTGTTTCTTCTTTCTGCCCATTTCCTAGGTCCCATTAAGTAGTTATTTTGGCATTACTACTTTTTTATTTTAACCAGATTTATGGAAGAAATCAAACTAATAGTAAATTTTAGAAATAGACAAGATGAGATTTTCATATCATATACTACAATGTAGTTTTAATTTTTTACCTGACTAGATGTAGTTGGTTGAAAATTTATATCCTCATCTTTATTTTCTGATTTTGTGGTATGCATGCTAAGATTTAAAAGAAAAATAATTTGAAAGAAAATCAGGACTATAAATCAGTATGAGAAAAATACGGTTAAGTAACATTAATGACTTTTGCATCATCAGTTTGTATCAGAATCAAGTGAGATATCTTTATATTCATTTAAACATGTTTTTAAAAATTATGTAGAAATTTAATACTTTCACTAATTCATAATGATGAGAAATTTATTTTTCTATGCACTGAGGCAGTATGTCTGAAATAACCTGCACTGATTTAGTCCATCTTCAGTCATAATCCTATATGAAATATATCCTATATGAAATATCCAAGATGGCTAGCTAGAGGTACTGGACATGCTCACCTTCCATAATGAAGCCCCCAACCCAAACAAAAGAATACTAGCTGCTATCTAGTTAGAGTACTTGGGGGAGACTGTTGGAGTGCAGCATGAATGAAATGGGAAAGCTAGGGACACAGTTAGGATAACTTACTGAAGGGAACAAGGCACTGTACATCAACTGCCCTGTCACCCCAGACTGGATCAGCTTGAAATGGGACAGTCTTCCATGACAATAAAATGGCAAATGGGAGGGCATGGCCACCTGCTTGATGCCACAAACACCTGCAGATTTTATTTTGGGAGAATCAGGGACCATGAACCTGTTTGTGGTGTTGCTGGAGAATATGCCCCATTGCACTCCTCTGAAAAGGGAGTTCAATTCACAATGTACTTTACCCCACCTAGCCTGTCACTGAACACTAGCTGCAACTAGCTCAGATCTCCTGGAGCAGCTCCAGCTCCTGTGGTCCAGTGGAACATAAGAGGGCCCACTCCTGTGCAGTGCCTGATAGAGTGGGGTAGCCCACTAAATCTTATGGGGGCTCAGGGCCTTCACTGTTTTATTTATTTATTTATTTTTGGTACCAGGGATCGAATTTGGGTCCTTGTGCTTGCACCACTGAACTAAATCCCCAGCCCTGTACCTTCACTCTTATACCAACCGTGCCTCACCTGCCTGGAAAGTGGTGGGCACACCACAGTCACACATGTGTGAACCACACCCAAGGCCATCAGCAAACTTGCCCCTAGAGGCAATGCTATGTTGATAATAGCTCTAGAAGCTACAGAAAGGGTACTGCTGTATTCATCTGGAGCCAAAGCCAACACAGCTTTGCCAACCAATACCATATATTCAAAGTCTTTTATGATGAAGCCATTCTATAAAATTTCTAGAGACAATAGGTTCATCAAATGTGCACATAGCAACAGAAGGACACAAGAAGTATGAAAAAGCAAGGTAATATTATGTCTTTATAGAAACACATCATAATTCTCTGGTAACAGGACCAAAGAGAGGGAAATTGATGAAATGCCTAAAAACAATTCAAAATAATGTCCCTAAGGAAACTCAGTCAGGTAATAAGATAAAACAGATGGACAACTCAACAGAAATTAGGAAAATAATTTATAATATGAATAAGAAATTCAGCAAAGAGATAATTAAAAAGAACCAAATAGAAATAGTAAGACTAAAGAACTCAAAAAGTTAAATAAAAACAGTTGAGAGCCTCAATGATAGACTAGGTCAAAGAGAGCTTCTGACTTTGATAGGGTCTTTGAAATAACCCAGACAGACCAAAACACAACAAAACAACAACAAACCAACCAACCAGCAAGACAAAACAAAGTCACCAAAATGAAAATAAAAAATCTAAGCCATTTATGGACATTATGGATACACTCACATTATGCATGTTTGAGAACACAAGAAAAAGGAAAGATAGAAAAACAATTCAATGAAATAATGGCTGAAACAAATCTTGAGGAAGCCATAGACATCCAGATCAAGGAAGTTCAACTCAGTTTGCTTAATGGGGGTGGGGTGAGGGTGGGGAGGCTTACAGTCAAACTGTTAAAAGTCAAAGAAAAACAAGTCTAAAAAACAGCAAGTGAGAAGCAGCAGTCATATTTAAGCAAATCCCCTCTTACTACTACATGAACTGTAGATTTTTCAGAAGAAAGCTTACAGGCCAATAGAAAATGACACAACATATTCAAAGCCTTGAAAAAAAAAAGTTGCAAACTAAAATATTATACCCAGTGAAACTATCCTTCAAAAATAATGTCTTTCCAAGACAAGCAAAAACTGGGGAAATTCATCATCCCTAGACTGATCTTACATAAAAATGTGTCAGGTAGTTCTAGAAATAGAAATGAAAGGGAAATGCCTGCAACTATGAAAACAAACACACAAAAGTATTGTCTGTCCTGTTGATGGGACGAAAATACCAGAAACCCACAACTTAAAAAAGGGTTTATTTCAGCTCACAGTTTTAATCCATGATGAGCTGGCTCCAGGGCAAAAGCAAGATGGCAGAGGAACAGGTGCTCAATTTATGGTGGCCAGGAAGAGAAGGGAGGTATCAGGAAGGAAGATAGAACTTTATAGATCACACCTCTAGGGGGCCTGCCTCTTCCATCCAAGGCCCACCTCCTAACAGCATATTTAGTTCTAAATTCATCACTGGATTAACCCACTGATGAGTGTAGCACTCCCATAATACAATCACCTTCCAAAAGCCCAAACTATGAACATAGGAGCCTATTGGAGGACATTCTAGATTTAATCTATAGCAATCCACATCTGGGCCCCAAAAGATTCATGTCCATTTAGTCCATCTCTAAGAATTGCTAAGGTTTAGCATTTAGAATTACTAAAAGGTCCAAGTTCAAAGCCTCCCCTAAAACTCAAGGCAAACTCTCAGCTTTGAGTCTGTAAAAATAAGTAAGAAAGCTTAATATTGCCAACATACAATGGCATATTCCCATTCCATAAGGGAAAAATAGGGGGATAGGAAAGAATGAAACAAAAGCTAGACGAAAATCTAGTAGGCCCAACATTAAAACCTGTAGTTCTATATCCAGTAGCTGGGACAGGTTGGTGAGAAATATCACCTCGATAGACTTGCTGGTTACAGCCCATATGGCCTCTTTCTTGTGGTGGCTCTGCTCACTGCTTGTGGCCTTCCTCAGCTGGACATTCCATGTTTCTGGCACCTCCCATTTCCTGGGGTCTCTACTGCACTTTTGGCTTCACTTTTACAGCTTAGTTTACCATCCCATCAGGGACACACTGTGTGGCCTCCCTTTTGAAATCTGAGCGGAAGCCTCTATCACCCATAACATTTGCATTTTGCATGTCTGTAAAACCAACACCATGCGGATAATGCCAAGGTTTGTCACAATTCCTCTTCTTGGACAAGCAGAATCAGTATCATTAAGATGGTCATATTAGGGCTGAGGATTTAGCTCAGTGGTTCTGGCACCTGCCTCGCAAACGAAAGAACACGAGTTTGATCCCTGGTACCCCCGCAAAAAGATGGTCATATTATAAAAATTGATAAATAGATTTAATTTGATTTCTGTTATAATACCAATAATATTCTTCACAAAACTAGAAAAAAATTCTAAAATTTATATTGTACCAAAGAGTCCCAGAATAGCCAGAGTAATCCTGAATCTCTTTAATAAACGGTACTGCAAAAACTGGTTATCAACATACAGAAGAATAAAACTAGATCCATATATCAAATATATTAAATAAATAAAATAAAAATAGATCAAAGACAATATAAAAATAGAAATTCTGCAACTACTAGAAGATAACATAGGGAAAACACTTGCAGCCACTTTGCAGCACAGCAAAGGAAACAATCAATTAAGAGAACCAATGGAATGGGAAATTTCTTTCCAGCTTTTCTTTTAATAGATAACGAATGTCTACAATACACAAAGAGCTAAAAAATAAAATAAAATTAACCACCCCGAAACAAATGAACCAATCAGAAAAATGGGCAAATGAACGAAACAGACATTTCTTTTTTCTTTTTTGGTACCAGGGATTGAACTTGGGTCCTTGCACTTACAAGGCAGGCGGCAGAACCACTGAGCTAAACCCCTAGCCTGAAAATAGACATTTCTCAAAAGAAGTACAAGTGGCCAAGAGGGACATAAAAATGTTCATCATCATCTTTAGCCATTAGGGAAATGCAAATCAAAACACCTCTAAGATTCCTTGTTATTCCAAAAAGAAGTTACCATCAAGAACTCAAAAATCAACAAGCGCAGGCCAGGATATGAGGGAAAAGGAACCCTTCTACACTGTTGGTAGAAATGTAAGCTAGTAAAATCACTATGGAATTAGGACAGAGATTCCCCAAAACAAAACAGAAATTTTATTGGACCCAGCTCTACCTCTCTGGGGTATATTCTGGAGAGTTAAATTAATCATAATATGAGGCACACACGGTCATACGTACAGTAACACAATTCATGACAGTTAAGCTGTATGCCTGTATGTCCACCAACAGACAAATGGATAAAGAAAATGTAGTATGTATATACAAAGGAATTTTATTCAGCCATAAAGAATGAATTTATGTCATTTGCTGGAAAATAGATGGATCTTGTTGAGCCCACAATATTGAGCAAAATAAAGAGTAAAATAAAGGAAAGATGGGAGGAATTAGGGAGGCAAACTTTGATAATGAGTATGAGAATCAGGGGAAAGGAGAGGGAAGATTCTCAGGGGAAATTAAATAGAAATAAGAAAAATATGTATAAATTCTCAAAACAAATGTTATATTATGTATCAAACATATATAAAAAAAGAAAAATCTGTCAAATAGCCATGTACTTTTTTTGCCTTATTTCAGAAAAGGAGCTATTAAAATAATATCATTAAGGGCTGGAGATTTAGCTTAGTGGTGCCACTGCCTGCCTTGCAAGTGCAAGGTCCTAAGTTTGATTCTGGTAGCACCAAAAAAAAAAAAAAAAAAAATCCTTAGGAAATAAAGAGCCTTAAGATAAACTTGAGAACAAAATACAAAAAACAAAAACAAAAACAAAAACATAAAACAAACCAACCCAAGTACGTCATAGAAGGTTAAACTCATTTAGGAAGAGCTCATTGGAAATCAAGTATGAAGGTGCCAAGTAAGAGCTCTATTATGCTGTTCCAGT